CACACACACACACACACACACACACACACACACACACACACACACACACTAAATGTTCTAATAAGGCTTCCATTCTGTCATGGCTTTGTCTTTGGGAAACCCTCTTGAAATGCAGGCAGACTGGTGAAGCGAAATCGACACAGTGCCTGCGTTTTGAAACCGTGAAGACACTAGTTGCATACCACCAAGTGGCCTGACACTCTGTGGCTGTGTGAGGGACACCTGTGGTTCTGTAACTAGAAGTTGTCCTGCAAGGGACCCTATTCTTCACAGTCTTGGGAAGCAGGGAAGGTCCTCAGGACACTCTGAAGCTGGCCCATTGGATGAGTTGGAGTATTCTGAAGCAGGGAACGGCCAGAAGTGGCCAAGACGTGTTAGACTGTTTCATGCTTCTATGTAGTCTTAAAATAATGGCTCTCTCCTAAATAACATGTCATTATGTTAAAATACCTCTGAAATGTTTTCTTTGATTAGATAATAAAGATTTCTATCTCCATGTGAGACTTTCCAAGGGCTTAGGGACCCAGTTGGTTAGGCCTGGTGGTGCATGCCTATAACCCCAGCACTCTGGAATGTCTTAAGTTCAGGACTATCCTGGGCTATATAGCAAGTTTAAGGCCAGCCTGTTCTACATAGTGAGACCCCGTCCTTAGAAAAAGAAAAAGATGAGAACATGAAGCAAGGCTAGGCCCACTGCTCTCTTGTCTACGGCCTCTAGTGGGGATTCAGAGCTGAGCCTGACCTGTGCTTTGTGAGGAATGTACATCATTCAGCACTGTAGATTTGCCAGTCACTTACTGAAACTTACTTAAAAAGACATGGAAATTATTTCTCTCTATTAAAACAATATTTGAAATGCGTGTTCTCGGTTCCAGCTAATAAAGTAAGCCGCATTTTCCGTTGCCACGGTGTTGGGGTAACCCCTTTGTCCTCTCTCCTGTGTCACCGGGGAAGTCCTGTCTCAGGCTTGTGATGGACTGAGCTGTGGTGAGGGAAGCCCCCTCCAGAGGGCTGTTTGTCTCCATCCTCCGCATGTGCACCCGTCTGAATATCCAGCCTTTAATGACGTCTCTTTCAGATTCATTCCTGAATCCCCTCGTTGGTTATACTCCCAGGGTCGGCTGAGTGAGGCAGAAGAGGCTCTCTACTTCATCGCCAAGAGGAACCGCAAGCTCAAGTGCACGTTCTCACTAACACATCCGGCCAACAGGAGCTGCAAGGAAACCGGAAGCTTCCTAGATCTCTTCCGTTACCGGGTCCTCCTAGGACATACTCTGATCCTGATGTTCATCTGGTAATTCTGAGAGAGGTTGTGGAATCTTCAGTTTGAATGCTGATGGTCTCTTGATAGCCTGGTCCTTCCACGGGGCTGCAGAAAGATTAACCTCTTGTCAGAATGAGGTGGTTTTGTTAAAAGCAAAACCAAACAAGGTCCCTGTCCCTCAGTGCTTTCTGTGTGTACCCCTCTGCTCTCTTGGAAATGTCATCTCTGGCACTGATGGGTTCCCAGGAGGTTGAAGGAATGGACAGACCCACACATCGAGTCAGTACATGAAGAGGTAACACTCTGAGCCTGATATTTAGTTGCTCAGTGTATTCTAGCCTGCCCCTCAGAATGCATCTGAGTTCCTATAAACTACATCCAGGATGCTGGCTGATGCCTTTTAAAGAATGAAGTTTCAGGGAGACAAGACAGTTAATGAGGCTCATGTCCTAGGGTGTGCACAGTGAATGTCAAACATGGAGCTTAAGAGAACCTCTGAAAATCAAGCCCGCAGTGTAGTGCAGATCTGCTAATTGGAGGTCCTTACTAGTTAGAAGCAGATCCTGAGTGCACAGGAACCCAGAGCTCTAGCCAGCTCTGAGTTTGCTCATCACATGGCCCCTCAGCTGCTTTGGAGGAAGCACCTACTTGTGAAGCTGCTTTTGGTAGTATAAGGAAGTGAACCTGAGCCATTGTACATGTTAGGCCAATGTTCTCCTGCTTTGCCTCTGAGCTGTCCGTGCTGAGCTGACAGGCCACTGTAGCCTGCCCTTCACAGCCTAGTGACAGCCCTGTAGCCTGCCCTTCACAGCCTAGTGACAGCCCTGTAGCCTGCCCTTCACAGCCTAGTGACAGCTCTGTAGCCTGCCTTCACAGCCTGGGACACTCAGCCCGCTGCTGTGGTTTTTGGCAGAGGGAAAAATAAAGTGTTCCCTTTGCCATTTGACCCCAGTGCGGCTGCATCGTGCCAGGCTTTTTCTAGAGAAAGCAAAATGGAAGCAAATGAGGAACCTCTTTAGCAAGCACTGGCCATGTCAACTACAAAAGACGAACTCGTAGTGTTGGAAAGCCCAGGTAATCTGTTGCTTGGGTAGGAACTTGTGGTCTTCATCTACTAGTAAAGGGCAGCCTTGTGGTCCTCAGGACTGTCTGTTCTGTGTTGGGATTTTACTACAGCAGCTTGCCAGACTCTGGTGTTCATCTTACCACTTCACTGTGGTTTGGGGCTCCAAATTGGTGCTCGGTTGAGCTGCGCTCATTCCCCCTGAAGAAGACAGTCATGTGTCTGGTCCAGTACCAGAGCCAGCAGGTGCTCCCTAAGTGTGAAGTTCAATGATGGTGTGCAGAAATGAGTTAGTGTCTCTCAAGATCCTCCTTCCCTGTTGATCTTCTCAGAATTCCTGCTCTGCTGTGATCCTGGCCTTTTCTTCTCTAACCTTGTCTCTGTGTTTATGTGTGCCTGCTGAAGACCTTGGATGGGAAATGACTAGGGCCGTAGGGGGATGGAGAGCCTGGCATTTGTGGCCTGCAGATGACCCACCTGAGGTCCAGCCCATTCTCTAGCCATCCGCTGTTGGCTTTGCCCATAGGAGGCTTAGTCCAGCCCTTCTGATAATATCAAAAGGCCACGGGCCAGTGTTCCCTAGATTGTTGAACCCAGTAGAGTAAGAATAAGGCCATTGTTTTCACTTCAGTGCAGAACTGCTTGAGGAGGCAAGAACAATGTCTTTCCTCAAGCAGGAACTGTCCCTTCATTTGCTTTACATAACACACGGACATAAATCACTCCCAAAGCCCCAGTAGGCCTTTGTGTCTTAATAGGATGAAAGTTTAGATGAAGATAGAAAGCTCGGTGGGAGTGTCAAACTCGTTACTTGCAACAGAGGGTTTGATATTGCCCTGGCACTATTAATCTCTCCTGGAAAATCCTGTTTCTGCCCCGTGAATTGTCTCACCGCTCAGTCTTTGATCTCCATGCAGGTTTGTGTGCAGCTTGGTGTACTACGGCCTCACCCTGAGTGCGGGGGACCTAGGGGGCAGTATTTATGCCAACCTGGCTTTATCCGGCCTCATAGAGATTCCGTCCTACCCTCTCTGCATCTACCTGATTAACCAAAGATGGTGAGTATGAGTGATAATGAGGCATACCATAGAGGCTGTGGATTGGAGCACCCACACATTTTTCCCATACGCTCATTCCTACTTGTTATGAAATTTGGTCGTAGACAGTGTATGGCCAGCACTGTCCATCAGAGTTTCTCTCAGGCTAAATGCAGCTAAGCTCACTTTTTATTGTAGTAGTTCTTGAGTTTTATGTATGTGAATGCTTATGTAGGCTTTAACTCAGTGTAAAAGGTACTACCATCTGTGAGGTGTTGAGCAGTCTGTATAAATTCATAGGCCTGAACAGTGTGCTTGTTAGCTCCATGTAGATAGAATCCCATCAACTCAGAATCCAGAAGGTCTTAGAAGCAGGAAGACAAAACCTGACAGAACTAGAAAGACTTCCTACCCCCTAAGAACTACTTAGAAGCTTTTGCTGCTTGTGAGCAAGGGAGTGGAATTCAAATGTTATCTTCTAGAGATCCGCATCCTGGTCTGTTTCTCCCTTCTGTTATTTGGTGAGCTAGGAACCAGTTGAGTTGTGCCATTTCTTACTGTCTAGACATTACCATTTCAACCCAAACTATGACATTGCTCATCTCGATACTGTTAATCAGGAAACCAAGGTTCCTTTGGGGTTACTTAGACTCATTAATAAATTTAGGAACGGACTTGGAAGGAAGCTTGAGGACAATTTTCTTAGCATTTGAAAGAAAAATATCAGGGCAGGCAGGCTGGAAATCCAGGCAGCAGGGGAAGATAGAATGCAGCGCCTTTTGAGGCTAAGGAAACAGTGCTATTTCCAGAGTGCCAAGGAAAATATGCGCAGCCTTTGGCCAGTATCTGAAAAGAAGATGAAGAGAAGGATCAAGGAACAAACGCTAAGTGCCAACCTGTCCCGGGCTCTTGTTTATTTTTAAAAAGTGAAAAATAGAACATGACTGAACATCGGAGTGGGCTCGTGAGCAGAAGGGAAAAGCCAGAAAAGCACTGGGCCACGTGCTCTAATATCCTGACTCTCCTGCCACACCTGTCAGCACGCTTCAGCTGAGAGTCCTGCAGCCCAAATGCAGGACTCTGGTCAGCTGGAGGTTTTTCTCCCAGGCAGCATTGTGTTGCCTGGTCTGAGTCTTCTGCTAGTGATCACCACTGACTCTCCTCATGATCCCAGAAGTAGGCCAGCCATCACACTCGGCATGTCTGTAAGACAACATCCACTTCTTATGCAGCTACAGGTTCCTGTGGATGCCTCTGATGGCCACTTCTAGCATCACCAGGAAGCTATTCATGGGAGTAGCCTTTGCCTAGGGCCTGCCTGTCATGGTCAATGTCACTCAAAAAGCCATTCCGTGCTCGATGTTAAAAATACCCTGGAAATAGCTGTCGAAAAGACATCAGACCTTTTCTGCTTTCCAGCAGCTACTGCCGCAAGACAGGGCTGCAGTCTGAAGGGGGCAAGTTCGGTGCCTTTGGGGTCAAGCAGACTTGGGTTTCATTCTAGTCTGAGCCATGTGTTAGCTTTCTGACTTCAGTAAGTTCCCCCATCAAGCTTCCGTTTATGATGATTTTAAAACCAGCAATCCTAAAATTACCCTGACAAGGTAGTTATCAGAATTACAAGTAAATACCAAAGTTCCTAGCAGAGGACCTGGCCTGTTGCTGTCCCTTGGAGAGTGGAGATTAATGTAGCATCTTTCTTCTAAGCCTGGACCTCTTATTTGGAAATTAAGGTGTGTAGTACATTTTACTTAAATAGAAACCACTGACAAGTTTTTTTTTTGTGTTTATATTTCTAAAAGATTGAGACAAAGACAAACAAACAAAAAAGGCCCACCAAACCCTATATTGAAAACTTCCAAGCCCATGAGAGTTGGGGAACCAGAGACTAAACAAGCCATTAGACTCCATTCTCTTTGCCAGGGTGGGTCTCTGGAAGATGGGGAGGGCAACAGCACACGCTGTACGTTTGTGATTAGGACTGGGGAGGTAACAGGTGGCATGCACTGAAGACAGTCCTGCCACAGTGCACACTCTGGGAAACACAATGAGTCTTTCCCTGTGTACATGATCGGATCCTGCCATCCACTGGATTCCCTTATCTGTCTCCCGACCGGCGGCTACATTTGCCACCCACTCAAAAAAAAGATTAGGTCGAGGACACTTAAACGGGAAAGCTGGCGGGAAGGGAAGATGACTTTCTAAGACTCTTTAGAGAAACATGATTTCCTTCTTTATTCAGGTTTGGTCGGAAGCGGACACTAGCAGCATTTCTGTGCCTTGGAGGACTGGCCTGTCTTATTGTGATGTTTCTTCCAGAAAAAAAAGGTATGCCTTTCAAATTTCCATGAGGACTTTGAACAGCGCTTTTATTACAATGAATCTCAATATAGTAAAGGGATTACCATATGCCATGCTTCGTTTCTGTGATTGAGTATTATTTAGCAATTGTGTGGTCTATAATGGGCCAGATTCTTTGCATTGCCTGAACCATTCTCTGGGTGAGTAATGTGCTTGGAGGTGTGCTATTAATTCTTCCAGGCTATTAAGCTACCATCTGGGGTGTCTGGGATGCAGCCGTGGTGATGTTAGAGTTGTTTACTTGGTGATGGAGAGGGCCAAGGCCTCTTCCACACTGAAAGAAACTCCTCCCAAGCTGCAAATGAAATTCCACACTCGAGCCAATCTCCAGCCTGGAGATTGGACACTGGTCCTCAGAGGTAACTTTGGAACCCCTAAATGTCTCCATCTGGTACCCCAAAGTTAATAATAGTAACAGCAACACCGTAAGAGTAGCATTCACTGTCCATCACAGTGGTTGTGCTCTTGGTCATTTTCAAGTGTGAATCAGGGCCGCTGAGATGACCCTGCTGGTAAAGGCCTTGCCACCAAGCTTTCTGGCCTGAATGTGATCACTAGGGCCTGTGTAATGGAGGGGAGGACAGTGCCCACAAGTTGTTCTCTGACTTCCACACACGTGTTGTGGTACACACACATGCACACAGAAACAAATGATGGACATCATTTAAAAAATAAAGTGCAAATAAAGAATATTTGTAGGAAGCTTTGGTATTTTTAGAATTCTTTAGCTTTATGGCACAACACAGCTTCAGAAGATGTTCCTTTGGGTGGTAATGGGGCTCAATTGGTAGAGTGCTTGTCTAGACCGCCTGAAGCCCTAGGTTCAACCCTCTGGACCATATGAAATTTAGGCATGGTAGCAAATCTGTAATCACAGCACTCTGGAGATGAAGGCAGGTGGAGCAGGTGTTCAAGACCATCCTTGGCTACATAAGCTTGGGGTCAGCCTGGATACATGAGACCCTATCTAAAAACAAGTGTCTCTTGGTCATCCCATTTAACACAGTTACCCCTACATAGGAATTCTTTAAGGCCACATATGGCAGTGTGTGCTAGCAATTCCAGCACTCAGGAGACTGAAGCAGCCGGACCCCAAGTTTAAGGCCAACCTGGGCTATGCATCAAACTAGAGGCAGGCCTGGGCTACACAGTAAGGTACTCTCAACAATAAAAAAGGAAGAGATTCTCTTACTGTGTATTAGATACATAGGTACTTGCAAGTTTCCAAGCTTTTTTTTTTTTTTTGTTTCATGCTTCTTTTCTGGTACTTGCATGTGGACAGCATGGCAGTTCCTGCACAGGGAGGGTGGTGTGGTTTTCAGGGAGGAGGGTCCAACAGCTTTACTACAAGGGCACATGGGCTGGAAATGCCCTGCACCTTGTTTTAGAATTTTGATTGCTGTCGTATGGCTCCTGTGCTCTGGGTGGGAATCGTGGAGGTGGTCTGACATAAAGTTCGTAACTTCTGGAAACCATGAACTGTTCGGTCCCCATCAGAGCAGCCTGCACGCCAAGTGCCCCTCTGCAAGCTGCTGCTCCTCTAGGCTGAGTTGTCCCAGGGCTTCTCCGGAGCCTTCCAGGTTGCCCATACTCCTGACCCTCCAGGGTGCCTGCCCCACTGCCAGTCACCACCCGAGGGTCTGGGCTGTGAGCCCCAGCCTGTTCCTTAGCTCTAATAGTGATTCAGGCCAGGACTGGACAACAGCTGGACAGCGATCGTTATCACCTCACGGGAACTGGAGACTTCCGGATATTTGCCCATCTCCTATCCTCTGCCAGTGCCAGGACCCTCATGGTGTTGGTCTAGGGCAAAAGATAAAGGGCATCCAATTGTGGTGGCTCTATGCTCAGCAGAGCTTGTCTTGTATAGACAACTTGGGGATGTAGTTTTCTACCAAAACTGTCATAGTCTGTGCGTCATCTCAGAGACCAAAGCTGTGTCTCCTCCCACCTCTGGAAGCCAGGCCCAGGGATATCTTCTTTCCCCCTCTTACTTCTTTGTACATTCAGGTATCCCACCTCGAGGACTCTGCACAGGACCCTTCCCAACACACACGAGCGATCTCCTTTCCAGATTAGCATTCCCTCCTCATCTCCATCTGTCCTGAGAGCTACTGGCCCCGTCTGTGGGTTGTGCCCCTTGGTGGACATGGCTTGAGACACAGTGAAGCAGTGTTTTCCACGGGCTCAGGAGATAGAACACAGCTGTTATGCTTAGAAAAAGTGGACACCCTGTCAATTTTTCAAGATTTCCTAGGAAAGAAATTCTCTAATGTCCCTTAGTAAATGGTTTCAGTTTTTAATAACCGTGACTGCTAGGATGATCCTCTCCCACAATGCTGAGTCTATTTCCTTTCATTTGATTCATCTCTAGAAGTAGAGAACAGATGGCCAACTTTTTGTGCATAATCCTTGCTGTTCTTTCTGGAATCCTCTCTGAGCCTAAAAAATTCTTTAACTATTCATATTTACCCTTTAAAATGTTTGGTTTGGTTTCTTTTCAATCTCTTTTTCAGAGTTTTAAACTATAGGTTATGACAGTTCCAACAAGCATGTATTAAGAGGAAGACCCCGGGGTTTCTATTAGCAGCAGCTCATGTGAGCTTGAAGACCTCTCTTCTCTACTGTGCTCTACTCATTCCCAGAGATTTTCCCACTCCCACGAACATTCCACACCTGCATTCTCTCCTTTCTGCCAACTCAGGTGCCCTTTACCCACTTGCTTCTTTTCAGCATCTGCATATGATGTGGCTCTCAGTTTCTAGGGCATTCGTGGATACTGTGACAATATATCTCTAGGAGACTCGGAAAATAAGCTAAAGACCAGATGTTTAGTATCTTGCAGCCTGTGGTTTATAATTATACGCTGACTATCCCTAGTCCAAAAAGCTGATTGTAAGACGAATCTTAGAAGGTCTTTTCTTAATAAAACCCTGGAGCCAGATATTGGGGTGAAAACTGAGAGATCAGAGAAACAGAACAAGCCACAGTCAACCTCACCTCTGCCAATCCTCAGCCGATACTGTTTTCCTGAATCCTCAGACTGAAAGCCTCTGAGTCCTCACCCCTGAGGGTCTCAGTTGAACTGCTGCTAAAAAGCTTCTAGTTCCTGGTCCTCACACCTTATATACCTTTCTGCTTCCTGCCATCACTTCCTGGGATTAAAGTCATGTGTCATTTCCAAGCAAAGACATGAGATCTCAAGTGCTGGGATTAAAGGTGTATGTGCTACCATGCCTGGCTCTGTTCCCAGTGTAGCCTTGAACTCACAGAGATCCAGATGGATCTCTGCCTCCCGAGTGATAGGATTAGGGTGTGTGCCACCACTATCTGGCCTCTGTGTCTAATTTACTGGCTGACTCTGTCCTCTGATCCCCAAATAAGTTTTATTTGTTAGAGCACAAATAAAATATCACCACAGCTGATATCTAAAATGTTCCAAAAACTTCCAACACTGAGAATTTTGAGCACTAACACATATGATGTCCCACATGGAATATTCCACTCTTGACCTCACATGATGACTCACAGCACTAAAAGTATTGTATGAAATTCCTTACAGGTTATATGTGTCCAGTGTTTATAAATCACAAATAGATATCCTGCTTACCCTCGGGTTCTATCCTCAAGACACTTCACTATGTGTAAATACTCCCGAATCTCCCCAAACCAGAAACACATCTGGACGAGGCCCTTGATCAAAAGGCCCCTCAGCCTGTGTTAGAGAGATGCTTTCTATCCATATGTGTTCTCTTACTGGTTGGCCTCCCGGAAAAACTCTCTTCTAGGAATATTAGCAGGGGCCGCTTACAATTGTACACAGATTGGTCAGCAGGCATTTCACTTGGTCTATATTCTTGCTTAGAGGAGGGTCCTGATTAATCATTGATTAATCTTACAGTATTAGTTGCCATTTATGGAGTGTTGACTAAGTGCTGTATTCTCCATAAACAGTAGGTCATTATGTGTCACTTATCACGTAATGAAACTAAAATTCAGACTGCTCAGATAGTGTGTCCAGCTTATAACAAGGGGCTGGAATTTCAGGCCTTCCTGACTCACAGCCGCAGTCTGTGCTCACATGGAGATGCTTTGACCCACGTAATTACAAATGGGGAAGCTGTGGTGTCTGCGCATGAACACTGGGTGACTAGGGCCAGTTCTTACCTCTGCAGTGGCAGGCCTGGTGAGGATTGTAGGTAGCACTGACCACCTATAGGTGAGGCTCATGGCAGCCGTGGTCTCTCGGGAAGATCTGAGCATGTCCAGAGCAGCAGCATTGCAGTTGAAGGGTGTGTGCTTCAACCCTCCAGAGTGGCCAGCGGGTTGCAGCTTCCTCAGACTTGTCTGCCTATCTCTGTCCTAGCTTCTCCATCATCTGTGGATCTAAGATCCTGTCCATGACCCGGGCCCTCTTCCTGGCCTTGGAAAGCTGGAAACCTAGTGAGGAAACATAGTGGTGTAGAAGTGACGAACAGCAGTGCCTCGGGAGACCTGACAAGCACTGCAGCCGTGATAGTAAGAGAGCAGCTGTCTTCCCACGTAACTAGAAAATCCATAAACAACTCTAACATGCACGTTAAAATGTCCCTGTTTAGCCATCAGATAGCAGGCTGCATAGGACAGTGGTCCCTGAAGAGGGAGGCTGACAAAGGTTGGCTGTAAGAGGATCCTTGCTCAGGATCTCCAGGACACAGGGCAGAGAGGAGGTGCAGCAAATCTTGGCAACTTACTGAATCAAAGAAGTAGATATTGAGCATGACTAGAAGTTGCTAGGCAACAATACTGAGAAATAGATAGTAGGGTGGCTAGAAGTTGCTGGGCAGAAGTATTGAAAGGAGTAAAATACAGAGAGGAAGACCTTCATGGATCTTCAGAAAAATCCCTCATGCTCTGTGCAGGCAATGGAGGACAGTCCCGAGGACAGGAAAAAAGTACTAGACAAAAGTGGGGAGGACTGCCAGGCAGGACTGAAGAGGGTTGTAAGAGAGGACTGGGTAGCATCACCAGACACGGGTGGGGATGGTCATGAGATAGGGCTGGAGAGGACCACTACACAAGAGTGGGGACGATCATGAGTTTGGACTAGGAAGGACTAACAGACAGGAGAGGGAGGATCACCAGCCAGGAGTAAGGAGGACAATGAAACACAAGTGGGAAGGACCAGGAATGGGGAAGTCATCTGACAGTAGCAGGCAGAGCCATCCCTAGAACCCGGGGCCATCAGTGCTTTGCGCATTCTTTAGCTAGACATAAGCATTGGAGGAGACAGCCTGGACCAAAACAGCCCAAAGTGAAAGGCTGTTTGCCCTAAGAGTGCTCAACACAATCACTGCAGGACCAGCTGGCCCTGAGTGACTGAGCTGTATCACAGCGCAAAGTCAAAGTAGCACTCAGAAGACACTAACGGAGCTCAACACCTGGCCGGGGAGCTGTCACGCCTGGCTTTCAGTCAGAATTTCCTGCACACATGTAAGCAGGAGAAAACCTCCACACAAGGAGAGAAATCCACAGAAACAGCCCAGCAGTGCACAGGTGATAGAGCTCAGAGGCCAAAACATCCACGCAGCTGCTGTGATTTGTGTGCTTAAGCAGACGAATGTCAAAGCAGTTACTATAACTGTCCTGTGTGCATAAGTAGCCAAAAGCCTAAATGGCTACTGTAACTATGTTCAGTGTGTTTAAGTAGACAAGTCCAAGCAGCTGTTACAACCAAGTTCCATGTGCCTGAGTAGACAGAAGTATACTGAGAAGGAGCAGAAGAAGACGAGGCCATAAAGAAGACATGCACAGAAAATCTGAAGAGGAAGCCTGCAGCATGCAAAAGCAATATTGATGTGGCCAACAGCAGACTGGCTACGACGAAGAAGAGATCCATGGATCGCAGACAGCAAAAGAAACTTCACCGTGGAACTCAATTCAAATCCAAACAAATGGAATAACATCTAACAGAGCACCAGTGAGTTGTGGGAAAATATTGGTGGCCTGACATGTAACTATGGTCTCAGGGAAAAATATTATCTAAGAAATGATGACTATAAGCTTCCTGAGTTGATAGAACTTTAAACACATGATTAAAGAGTGGCCAATTAATGAACCATGTAAGTATCCTACATGTGTGTGCCTCTCACAAAACATTCAGAGTACCCAAAGCAAAACTGTGCAGAGCTTAGACTTGCTCCTTCAATAGCTGAGGCAGTGATTGAAAAAGTAGAAAATGAAGACACAACCAGGATAACTGCTGATTTGTCCACACCTTACCCTATAGCAAGGGAACGTTTCCATTGAAAGAGCCACAGAATGTCTATGGTGAGATGCCCTAGTCTGGGCCATGACACATAAATGAATAGAATTCAGAGGATTGAAGACTTATAAAAGTACTGCTTTACCAGAATAGAATTAAAATAAAAATTAATTTAAAAAAAGATATCTGGAAAATCCTCAGACATTTGAATACTAAACGATACTCTTTTAAAGACACATGAGTTAAATAAAATAACAAAGGAAATTAGATATCTTAGTTAAACTATAAATTAAATATGCAATATTAAAACTCATGACATGTAGAAAAAGAGAGGCTTAGGTATCAACATTTATATAATTATCAGTGATCAAGAGAACAAATTAGTAATCTCAACTTTTGTTTCTAGAAGATAAACTTTCAAAAGGAAAGCCAAGGTAACAGAAGGCAAGCGTAAGAATGAAAATTATAAATGTAAAAGAAAAAGGAATGAAAACAGAGAAATGATAGAAAAAATCAAGGAAATCAAAAGCCTATTGTTTAAGACCTTTAAAGTTAATAACCCTCCAAACTAATAAAAAATGAGACATAGATCACAAATATCAGAAATGAAAATGGAACCATCACTAAAGAAACTTTAGGTGTTAATGAGAACCGTTGTGAGTATTCTTACACTAGTAAATCAAGTTATACACAGTCTTTAGAGAAACAAACCAAGAAAGCGTAAGTGAAAGCAAGCAGATGACCTTTGCAGCCCTTTGTCTGTGGGAGAAATTGAATGTGTGGTTAGAAACATTCCCACAGAGAGCTGCAAGCCGGGATGACTTTGCTCCTGCGTCTATAACACACGAAAAGAAGTAGAAATTCCAGTTCACATGATTTCCCAGCAATTCACATTGGGCCAGCAATTACCCTGAGGCCTAGGCCAAACAAAAGCAAGCTTTACCCTCAAATACAAGCACTCATCAGTGTTACTCACCATATTAGAATCCAGAAAGAAAAGGAAGTTACATGATAATTCAGTACAAGCAGAAAAGGCACTTTTTAGAGTTTAGCACCCATCCACTCTAAGAAATATTAGCAGCTGGAAGCAGAAGAGAATTTCTGTAGCTTGACAAGTAGAATCAAGGGAAAATCTCTAGCCAATCCTTTGTTTACCACCGAAAGAGGGAATAATACTCACTGTGATCAGGATGCCCATTCTCTGGCGCATTGTCAAGACCATAGCAGTGAATGCAGTAAGACAGTGAGAAGAAAGGAAAGGGACTCGAGCTGACAGTGAAACAGTAGAGGACTCTGAACAATAAACAAAAGACCTAATAGAATTAATAAACGAGGGCTGGCAAGAAGGGTCAGCCGGAGAAGGTGCTGGCTGCCAAGCCGGTGACTTGAGTTCAGTGCCTGGAACCCACACTGTGAAAGGAGAGGACCAAACCCACAGAGATAGCCTCTGACAACCCCACACATGCCATGCTACACACATGCCATGCTACACATACACATACACACATGCCATGCTACACACAGAGATACACAGATAAAAAATGTAAAAATTTAAAAACAAATAAATGAGCTGGTCAGAATCATATGACACAGTTTTATTTCTGTATATTATTAGCAAATAATCTAACATGCAATTAAATAATGGTACTGGTAATAAAATTTAGAAATTTTTAGAGATAAAATTTCTGTAGCATATATAACACTAAAAACCATGAAAGGTTGCTAGGAGGAACTAAAGAGGGCTGGATAATTGAATTGGCAATAGTAATATTCACAGATAAGGAGATCACCATGCTCAAAGGTCAGAACTTACTTAAGTCCTCTTCTCTTACCAAACTGATTTATTTTTAGCACAATCTCAAATGTCCAGGAAGATTATTTTATTCGTAGAATAAATTTGTGCAAAAAACATGAACACTCAAAGAATTCTAGACTAGCCAAAATAATTAATATCAAGAAAAACAAAGTTGGGGAATTTATCTGCTTTTAACTTATTATACAGTTATAGTAATCAAGATAGTGTGTTATTGATAGGATAGATCAGGGGGAAGAATTGAATATTAAAAAGAACCACAGCTGTGAACAAAAGAAATCATATCGTATGCAGTAATAAGCACAAATTGGATGTCAGGCCTTGTAGCCAGACGAATCTTTCCCACCCGTCAGTACCTGAATAACTAGTCAGAGGCTTAATATTAATAACAAACCTTTTGGTCTATATCTCAGGCTTACTGCTAGCTAGCTCTTACATCTTAAATTAACCCATTTCTATTAATCTGTGCATCACCACATGTCATGTGGCTTTACCTCTATTCCGTTACATCTTGCTCCCCTGGCAGCTCACAGTGTCTGCCCTGACTCCACCTTTCTTCTCCCAGTATCTTTGTTTGGATTTCTCACCAGGTTCTTATCCAAAACAGCTTTATTAACCAATTAGCAACACATAGTCACAGCATACAGAAAGACCATCCCACAACACTTCCCCTTTTCTGTCTAATCAAAAAGAAAGATTTTAACTTTAACATAATAAAATTATATATAACAAAACAGTTATCAAGTAAGAATTAGAGTTATGATATCTAATCTATTTATATTTGGCAAAATTAAAGAAAATATCCGATCATCTATCCTACCTTTGTGAGTCTAAAGTTTTACATCTAATTTACCTTGTATTATAACTAAGGAAAACTATAATTATAACTATTTAGTCTGAAACTACCCAACTTCTCAAAGAGTAGACAGGAGAGCAGAGTAGTGACTGGGTTAGTCAAAATTTCTTTTCTTTCTTTTAAAAAAGATACTCTTAGTCCTTTTAAAAATGAATCCATTTACTTACGTTACGTGTGTGGATGTTTTATCTGCATGTTTGGCTGTGTACCATGTGCATGCCTGGTGCCCGAGAAGACCAGCAATTACAGACATTGTAATTCCATGGTAGCATTGGGAGCTACCATGAGGTACTAGAAATAGAACCTGGGTCCTCTGGAATAGCAGCAGGTGCCCTTAACCACTGAGCCACCTCACCAGCCAGTCAAAGATTTATTAATTAATACACAAGAAGCACTAAAAGGGAAAAGTATAACCTACTTGATCAAAACACAGACTTTGGCTTTATAAAAGATTCTTACCAGTGATGTTATCACATGGTTTTAATTCTGGCACTTGGGAGGCAGAGGCAGGCAGATCGCTGAGTTTTAGGCCAGCCTGGTCTACAAAGCGAGTCCCAGGGCAGCCAGTGTTACATGGTGAGACCCTGTCTCAAAAACAAACAAACGAAACAAGAGACTGTATTGGGCCAGGTTGTGACTCAGTTGATGGAGTGCTTGCCTAGCACTCACAAAACCCTGACTTTAATCCCCCAGCACCCAACACCACAGAAAAACCAAGTGTGGTGGCGCACACCTGTAATCCCAGCACTTGGGAGGTGGAGGCAGGAGGATCAGAAGTTCAAGGTCATCTTCAGCTATATAGTAAGTTCAGACTTAGCCCATGCTTAGTACATGCAATCTTGTCACAAACAAACAAAATGAACAAATGATAACAAAAAGTTTGTTGCCAGGTGTAATGATGTGTGCCTGCAGTCGTAGCTATTTAGAGGCTGAGGAGCTCAGGGCCAATTAAGGGAGGCAGGTCTCTTCAAACAAAGGAAAAGCATCCTTAAGGAGATGAAAAGTAGGGCACAGGCCAAGAGAAAATACTTGTAAAAAAAATGCATAATTAAGGATCAAATCCAAAATAAGGAAAGGAATCTTAAAACTCGATAATAATAATAATAATAATAATAATAATAATAATAACAACAACAACAACAAAAATATTTAAGCAGATAATTCTCCCCAAAGTTGTTAGAATGGCAAATGAGCATGGAAAGAGATGTTTAAACCCACCAGACATTAGGAAAATGACAAATCTGTGCTGAGATACCAATACACACACATCCGAACAGCCAGAACTGGAGAACCTAGCTGATCACAGTGAGAGCTATGGATGTCAAAGCTCCAGCTGCCCTAGACAGTGCCACAGACACCCCCTTAGAGTGGGGCACAGGGAACCAAGGCTCTGCTGCAAGTCCTCAGGATGTGACGACACTGGACCCAAGCTGGAAGGAGCCCATGCCCCCAGCTGATGACCAGATAAGCAACTGTTATCCGCCCACACGGGATCTTACTCAACAATGACATGTGACCTGTGACTCACACAGCTTGAGAGCCTCTCGTCACGCTGAGTGAAAGAAGTCAGACATGAAAGTCCACAAAGTATTAGT